AGCCAAATGTTGATTTAAACAGAATATACAGAGGGGCGCCTGGTTGGCTCAGTCGGTTAGACATCCGACTTCGGCTCAGGTCATGATCTTGCGGCTTGTGGGCCCGAGCCCCATGTCGGGCTCTGTGCTGACAGCTCGGAGCCTAGAGCCTGCTTCAGATTCTATGTCTCCCTCTCTCTCTGCCCCTTCCCCTGCTCACGCTCTCTCTCCCTCCAAAAACAAATAAACATTAAAAAAAATAATAAAATAAAAATAGTTAAACAGAATATACAGAAAGAACTTTCCTGAACAAAATCTAGACAACGTTAATGGGAATTTCTTCACACATGTTCTTTGTGAAGTTACCAGGAGCTGGCTGCCAACCACATAAACCTAAGTGTAGAGGAATTTGATCAAAAAGTTGAATCAGGAATACTTCATTTCTTGTTGATGAAATTATTTCTATGTTCCAGACCCTGGGCTGAAAGTTGAAGGAGGTATGCAGTGTGGTTTCCATGTACAAAAAGAGGCATGTGTCTTGCCTCTACCTGTATACATTCGTAAAGTGGCCATGAGTTGTGTTATGAGAAACCATTGACTTCACCTGTCTAAGCCCCAATCAATTCTGTAATATAGAAATGTCACCTATCTTAGAAGGTTGTGTTAGTTAGATAAGGGGTGTCACAGCAAAGCACAACACACTGAGGGGCTTAAACAACAGAAATGGTTTCCTCATAGTTCTGGAGCTGGAAGTCCAAGATCAAGGTATTGGCGGGTGGTTTCTGCTGAGAGCTCTCTTCCAGGCTTATAGATGGTTGTGTTTTACCATGTTTTCACATGGCCTTTCCTCTATGTGTGCATGTTCCTGGTGTCTCTTCCTCTTATAAGGACACTAGTACTCCTGGATCAGGGACCCACCTTGTGACCTCATATAACTTTATTTGCCTTCTTAAAGGCTCTGTCTCTAAATATTCACATTGGGAATTAAAGCTGCAGCATACAAATTTGGGGGAAGACACAATTCAGTCTATAACATGTGGTTATGTATAAAAGAAAACATATACAAAGTGCTTAAAACAGTGCTTGACACATCACAGACTGGCTTCAATGATTATTAACTTTTACTTTATTGACCTCAGTGGTTATTCAAGAACATGGCAACCCTAGTGAGTAATTAGAACATGCAGGGCTGAGGGTCAGCCTTGGGCAATAGTGACCCCATGACTGTAAGGCCATGCAATTTGTAGTTATAATTATCCCTTTTTTTATAGAGGGAAAAACTGGTCAGTTAATAAGTCCCAGGGCTCATAAAGTTACAGCCAACTTCTGAGTCAGGTTTGCTGTCTCCAGAGCTCTTAGTCTGTTAAATCCATCTCAGGCTTGGAGCAGCCATATTCAATTACCCTTGTATCACACGGCCACCCATCCCAGGGCCAACCCCTGCCATTTATCCTAACTGAAGCTTGGCCACACTTGAAGGAAAGCCTGCACACTGATCGTCCCCCAGACAGATTCAGCTTTGATAGAAAACTCTTGCTGTCATATTTGTGGGAACTGTTCCAACCATGGAGATATGTGGGCTGATTAAGAAATTTTACTGCCCTTTGAAAATTGAAGATTGAGGTTTGTACATATGGGAGTTGGGGATATCTAGTCTGTCTTTAAATTTGATTTATGCAAACCTCTAGCTTCAAAGTTCCCAGCATAAAACCATTTAACCATGAAAATGGCAAAGCTAACATTCACATTCTCAGTTCAGATACCAGCAGGAAAAATGTTGTTTTGGCTTGAGGCTTAAAGGGCAAGTCTGTGGCCTGGGAGTACATATATATTCCCCTGGCTTCCTGAGATGTTCATAAGACCTTTCTGGGGAGGACCCAGGTTCCTAAAGCCTAAGCAGAGCCTGCCTTTTCTGGACAATGCTGAGGAGTTGACTCCAGGCTTTTCATCTTCTATTCGTTTCTCTTATCTTTGATGGTCTTTGGCTCATCTTACCCTCTCCCACTTACTCTACTTTTCATCATGGATTTGTCATCAAACAGTTATACCTCAGGACATAGAGATTATTGAACCAAAGAACCTAAGAGCTGGAAGAATAACTGGTAATAGTGTGTCCAACAAGTAGGAAGAAATGGAAATTCAGTGAGATATAGCCTATTCCCTGAGAATACTCTACATCTCAGTGTGTAGGGATGTGACTAAAACATAAATCTCCTGCGTCCCAGACTAGACTCCATTTTATGGCTGTGGTTGGCAACAGTGCAAACTAGGCTTTAATTTAGTCCACATGCCAGGCCTACTATAATTTGCATGGTTAAGTGAAAAACTGAAAAAAAGTATTCATGAGAATGAACTGGAAAAATGTGCTGGATCTTCATACTTGTTTAAAGATCTTTCCAAACTGTTGTAAGCAGAAATCTCAAATGGCCCCCGAGATTCCTGCCCTGTATAATCCTTTCCCTTTGAATATGGGCAGGATGTGTGAGTATGAAGGTTTATCACTCCCATGAGTAGCGTACTTTACATGGCAAAGTTCAAGGGATTTTGAAGATGTAATTAAGGTCCCCAATCAATTGGCTTCGAGTCAACCAAAGGGGAGATTGTCCCAACCTTATCAGATGAGTTGTTAAATGAAGTCAGAGAAATCTAAAGAGAGATTATTCCACTGACCTTCAAGCAGCAGGTCAAACAGAGGAGACAGTGCACTGGTATACTATGAAGGGTTTACATGAAGGATGGAGTCGTCCTGACCAATGATGCTAACAAATAAGACAATAGACACTGGGATGTGGTGGCCATCATCAGTATGAGTGAACTGCGTCAGGTGACCAAGCCTTGGTCACATAAGTTGGTGAATAATCAAAAGCCCGAAGACAAAGAAGTAGGTGATAGGCAGGACTAGCTCAGGGACACAGACAGCCTTCATTAACAATTCCCCTTGAGGCTGATCTGGCCAATGAGGAAGCTGAACCAGTGATAAATCTATCATCAGAAAGAATCTTCGGGACATAGAGAGGCTGCATGCTCTGAATGGACCAGATTTTCACTTCTAACTAAAACTCTCAGAAGGGTTGGGGCATATAGAGATTCACTGAGATAATTCATGACTCAAAAATTCACTCCTTTTTTCCACCTCATCCCTAAATATAGATCCTGCATAGACCCCTGGATTCTGAGACATACAGAATTTAGATCAGTGGAGAGAAGAGAGGCAATTTTGGTTGAAGAGGATAGAAGGAGGTGCATAATGAAGGTTTTAGCCCTTCATTAAAGAAACCCTTTCCCTTTTTTTCTTTCTTTCTTTCTTTCTTTCTTTCTTTCTTTCTTTCTTTCTTTCTCAAAAGAACAATTTGTGATCCCAGGAGAGAGCTAAGCATTGGGACAACCCTTCATCTATCTGGAGGCCATGGAGATAGTGAATCCCTGCTGCAAGAATTCCAGACCAGTGGTCTTGATGTACCATAACAGATTATGTTAACTCAGTAAAGTTCCTCAGATCAACCAAATTCTAACAGGAAGATAATGATACAGGAAGACTATTTGATGAGAAAAAATAATCAACCAAAATAATATCCCTCTACATCTCAATTGCCCTAATAATAGCTAACAGTCATTCCTAACCACATGCTACTCACATTTCTAAACACTTCATCTGATCTGGTTTGAAGTACTCATATTATTCTCATAGTTTAAATGAGAAAATTGCACAAAGGTTAAATAAACTGCCTCGGTCTATTTTGTTATTAAGTGCTGGAGCTGAGATTTGAACCCAGGCTACTCAGCCACTTTCCTCCACAGTCTGCCTTCCTGTCTGCTATACTCTTCTGCTCGTCAATACTGATACCATTTTTCTGTTCTGGATTCTTTTTATCCATTGACCATTTTCTTTGGTAACCATCAGTAAAAATATAAAGCTTTTAAAGACAGGGTCCTGTGTTGATTTCGCTTGGGTCTTTACCTACTGCCAAGCATGTAGTTGGTGTCTTGATTGATGAATTATTAAAGATAAACCTTTACAGTCTTGTTTAAAATTCTCTGCACGTCATTACTAAAAGCACATATGAGAGCATTTTCACCCATTTCCTTTTCTATTCAAAAGGAAATTGCCCAGGCATTACGTTAAGAGCTATCAGCACCAGCTCTCATCCTGGTCCCTGGCAAAGAGGTCAGAGTAGCACCCAGCACCAGCCCACTGCAACACCATTCTGACCCAAGCTGACACCAGTGAGAGATCCTTGAAGAGTGAGGTACTTCTGGCTTCTGTTGTTGGCAGCATTTCACCTCTTAGTCCATTTCATCCCTCTATTCACTGGGATATTGCATTGCTGAGACCTAAGATTAGTTGCTTGTGGAAGAACGAGTAGGCGTTTGCAGCAGGCTCTGTTAAAATCATTACCCATTCTCCTCCCGGCACTGCCTGGACCAAATGCCTGGATTCGTGACTGTGTTCAAAAAGCAGTGCTCAAATCCACAATCCCATCGTTTAAAATAGATCTTTCTAGATGAAGAGGAAAAAGTGGAAAACATTTTCATTGCAGTTATTTTGGGAAGGTGACCTGAGAACATTAAAGGGCACCCAATAACTATTTGTTGAATGAATGTGTGAATTGAAACAGGTTTGCAGAATTTTTCATTAAGAAGACCTCATTCCCAAAGGATTGGCCTTCTGCCAAAGACAGTTCCCTCGTACTTAATACACTGCCACCTTCCTCTTGCGAAAGCCACTGATTCCAGCATATATTTCTTCATCCAGACTTTCCGTTCATTCACAAATCACTTATTAAAAGCCTTCTGCTGATTAAGATCTATGAGAAATTGGACCACAGAGTTGACGAAGATAAGTTCCTTGAGTGCAAGATTATTTGTTAGCTTCTCTTCCTGGACTTGATGTCTCTGTGTGAAATTGATGAATCGTGTTCAATTGAAAATTCCTGAAGTAACATGTCCCTTCCCAAAAGTCCCTCCCCCTAATGGCAGAAGTGATCACAAAAAGGACTTTTCTCATTTCATGAGCCTGGTACCTTGACCGCAGTTAATTGCAGTAAAGATGAGTGGCATCTACAGATTGGAGAACTCGTCAGGTTGCATCTCTTGGGAAACCTAAAGACAGTGTTAGCAAAAACAAAAGTAAACAAATTATATAAATTTTTCACTCTATCCCCCCCTCCCAAAATGGGAGTAGGCATCCTTCATTAGTCAGGAAAAGTTATGCTTTTCTGCAGTAACAAATAACTCCAATATCTCAGTAGCTTAAACTAACAGTATTTTATTTCTTATATACATTTCTTCTCCAGTGCCAGTGGGAGCTCTGCTGTATGTAGTTACTCAGAGACCCAGGCGGATAGATGGATCCACCAGTTTATAGTTACATGCATCTAGAACATGCAGACTCCTCAGTTACAGCCAGAGGCAAGGGAGACTGGAGAATTATGGTGAGGTTTACGTGGCTTCAACAGGGAAGTGACACATGTCACTTCTGCTCAAATTTTGTTTTCCAAGAGTTTCCAGATAAATCCATTTAATTACACAGGGCTGGGAAATGTAAGGAAGCTACTTGGCAAGCATGACTCTCTCTGCCACATACAGTTAATAATATACTTTTATGTGTATATGACTTAGATGTTTATCCTTATTTATGATATGTGTTATCAGAAAACCATTCAAAGTTTAAAAAGATAAATAGTAAGCTAAAAAACATAAATAGATGCCCTAATATATTTTCTCTCTGCACTCTGTCTAAACTTGCAGATCATTGGAGACCATGATGCCAGAGTTATGAATATATCATGACATTCTGGTTGCCTTTGGGGCATGGCTATATCACTGCTGAAAGAATATCTTTTTTTCCCCTCTCTCTCCATGTCCCTACAAAGAATCCCCATTTGTGAAGATACTCTGAGTTTACCTTTGTTCTAAGCAAACTGAAAGAGCTTAGCTCTCTGGGACCTTTTAGAACATGCCAGTCTCAAAATGCTATCAGGCTGCTTTCTGACTCAAGAGAAATAGCAATATTTGGACCCCTTGTTCTTTCTTAGATATTCCTCCAAATCCATATGAATCCTCACTGTGTGTCTATCTTGCTGCCTTTCCAGAGCAGTGCCTGATTCATGACGTTTCTTCAATGATAATCCAATTATGATCATTCAACCCCAAGGCAAGGTTGATTCACAGCACAGTAATTCATTCTACCTAGTGGCCCCTCACACATGGAATCATAAATCCTTCAGAGAAGAAAAGGACCTCAAATTTAATTCCACACAGCATTTTTATTATTCAAATTAGGAATTTAGCAAGTTGAAGCCCAGGTATGTTGAATGACTGGCCTAAAATCAAACAGTTACTTAGCTGCAAAACCCACCATAGAGTTATTTCAACTCTTAGAACTTGTCAGGGGCAGCAGGGAATGGAGCACATAAAAAGGAAATACAAAACATAAAAATAAATCACAATTTCACTTAATCTTTGTTAAGGCCTTTCTCATGTCTTTTGTGAAATTGAAATCAAAGATAAAATGCTAATTAGATCTCAGTATAAAAATAGGGATAAGAGAATGTTTGATGAAAGATTGGAAAAGAAAACACTATTTGAAGCAACCCTCCCATCTGTTCCAAAGAAGTCCAACATAGCAATCTCATCATCTTCAGGCAGCATAACCTAGAATGAATTCAGGCAGTAAGCTTGGCATTTATAGAGCAGTCTGCTGGGAAAGAGCAATTTCATTTCCAAGGACTTCACCAAAGTGAGGACCTGACGTTACAAATGATTAATTTTTTCTGGAGGGTTCTTGAGAAATGTCTTAGCATTTAATAATCTGATAATATTTGTAATTCTCATTAAATTGTACCTAAATTTAATGGTCTTATCGCCTTTCACTGAGTGACCAAACTAACCTTATGCTGGAAAAAGAACAGCAAATAAAACCCAAAACCAGCAGAAGACAGGAAATAATAAAGATTAGAGCAGAAATTAATGCTATCAAAACCAAAAAAAAAAACAAAAACAAAAACAAAAACCCAAAACAAAACAAAACAGTAGAACAAATCAATGAAACCAGAAGCTGGTTCTTTGAAAGCATTAACAAAATTGATAAACCACTAGCCAGTTTGATCAAAAAGAAAAAGTAAAGGACCAAAGTAAATAAAATCAAGAATGAAAGAAGAGAGATCACAACCAACACAGCAGAAATAAAAACAATAATAAGAGAATATTATGAGCAATTATATGCCAATAAAATGGGCAATCTGGAAGAAATGGACAAATTCCTAGAAACATATACACTACCAAAACTGAAACGGGAAGAAAAAGAAACTCTGAACAGACCCATAACCACTAAGGAAATCAAATTAGTAATCAAAAATCTGCCAAAAAACAAGAGTCCAGGGCCAGGTAGCTTTCCAGGGGCATTCTACCAAACATTTAAGGAAGAGTTAACACCTATTTTCTTGAAGCTGTTCCAAAAAATAGAAATGGAAGAAAAACTTCCAAACTCTTACTATGAAGCCAGCATTACCTTGATTCCAAAACCAGAGACCCCACTACAAAGGAGAACTATAGACCAATTTCCCTGATGAACATGGATGCAAAAATCCTCAACAAGATACTAACCAGCTCCAACAATACATTAAAAAAATTATTCACCATGACCAAGTGGGATTTATACCTGGGATGCAGGGCTGGTTCAATATCTGCAAAACAATTAACCTGATTCATCACATCAATAAAAGAAAGGACAAGAACCATATGATCCTCTCAATAGATGCAGAGAAAGCATTCGACAAAATACAGCATCCTTTCTTGATAAAAACCCTCAAGAAAGTAGAGATAGAAGGAGCATACCTTGAGAACATAAAAGCTGTATATGAACAACCCAGCACTAATATCATCCTCAATGGGGAAAAACAGACAGCTTTCCCCCTATGGTCAGGAACAAGACAGGGATGTCCACTCTCGCCACTATTATTCAACATAGTATTGGAAGTCTTAGTCTCTGCAATCTCTGCAATCAGACAACACAAAGAAATAAAAGGCATCCAAATCGGCCAGGAGGACATCAAACTTTCACTCTTCACAGATGACATGATAGTCTATATGGAAAACCCAGAAGATTCCACCAAAAAGCTGCTGGAATTGATTCATGAATTCAGCAAAGCTGCAGGATATAAAATCAATGCACAGTAATTGGTTACTTTCCTATACACCAACAATGAAGCAACTGAAAGAGAAAGCAAGGAATTGATCCCATTTACAGTTGCACCAAAAACCATAAAATACCTAGGAATAAATCTAACCAAAAAGGTGAAAAATCTACACACTGAAAACTATAGAAAGCTTATGAAAGAAACTGAAGAAGACATAAAAAAATGGAAAAAGATTCCATGCTCCTGGATAGGAAGAACAAATATTGTTGAAATGTCAATACTACCCAAAGCAATCTACATATTCAGTGCAATCCCTATCAAAATAATAGCAGCATTCTTCACAGAGCTAGAACAAATAATCCTAAAATTGGTATGGAACCAGAAAAGACCCCGAATAGCCAAAGCGATCTTGAAAAAGAAAACCAAATCAGGAGGCATCACAATCCCAGACTTCCAGCTATACTACAAAGCTGTAATCATCAAGGCAGTATGGTACTGGCACAAGAACAGACACTCAGATCAATGGAACAGAATAGAGAACCCAGAAATGGACCCACAAATGTATGGCCAACTGATATTTGACAAAGCAGGAAAGAATATCCGATGGACTAACTTGAAATTATATAGTGAATGATGTCATTCATTCATTAATTCATTCAACTGGACACTTAATCTATGCAGACACTATCCTAGGTGCTGAGGATAAAACAACGAACAAGGCAGATACATTTCTGTCCTTACTGAGCGTACAGTGTTAATGTTAACATTACAGTATTAATCCCTTGGGAATCCAAGTTTTGTTTTTTCTGGATTTCTGGAGTCCATGTGAGACCTCTGTATTGTATCCCAGCTAAAATTCAAGGGCAAAACATGCATTTCATCCTAACTAGTCCAGTGTCTGGATAAATAACTTATATGAACTAATTTTGAAGTGTTAACATCTTGTGAATCTCAACTCAGCTACTCACAAGTTCTATAACGTTAGACTAGTAACTCTCATCACTTACACACTTCTACATCAGCTATAGTTGCATAAGAAACCACCCCACAGCTCAATGGCCTAGCACCACTCATCAGGCTTAGCACCTGAGGCTCAGCTGATCAGGGAACCCCTGTCAGCTTGGGCATGTCCTTGTCATGAATATGGCAAAGATTAAAGAGCTCCTAAGATTGGGTTAGATGAGATGTGTGGTCACTACGTGTTCCCCACAGATGGCAGTATCATCATCACTTCAAATTTCCCTTTTGACATTTGGAAAGCTTTCTTGAACATAATCTTGGTCTTGCCCTGTCTCTTACCTTTTTACCACACTGCTGAAACTCCCGCTTCCTCAGATTAGACCAACTCCTGCCTCTTGAGAAGGGTTTGGACTTTGTTTGTGATTACTGGGAATTCTCTGAACCACTTCTGGAAGAAACTTTTGCCCATAACTCTATAACTTCCTTCCTTGGGCAGCCTCCCAGCTAGAACAAGGCTACAATGACCAGTTCCCTGCTGCTAGTCAAGGTGACCAGTGAAATTCGTGAGTGATGTATGATGAAGGCAGGTAATAGCACTCCTGTTGAGAATGCTTGGTATGGGTTTTTATAATTTATCCTATAACTGTACATAAGGTCATTTTACCATCCCCCTCCAATAGATGAAAAAAGTATTGACACATATTAACTTTACAAAGTTTTAATATTAAATCAGAATAGAATGATATTTGTTGGATTTTATGGCGATTAAAAAATTGCCATAAAATTAAAAAAAAATTGCCACTAATTAAAAAAAATAGTGTCCCTCTTGTCCCCACCCAAGTTCTGTATCGATCGAGAGATAGACAAGGCAGACAAATAGAGATCAAATTGCCAGCTTCAAAACTGTTGGCTGTGAGAAAATGGCTTACACATTTAGCAGTGATAGTTTGATACTACTGAGCCCTAAAATAGATAGAGTTACCTGTCTAGTAAAGTTGTCTCTCTGAAATAGCAGGTCTCCTTCTCAGGGGGAAAGTCCTGTAACCCATGGTGGAGCGGAGACCAGACACAGGCATATCCCAACAAGAATGAGGTGAGGTTTGCTTTGGTGGCTGTTCCTGTTTCCAGATTTGTCAGACAGTTGATTCCTCCTTCAGTGGGGAGGGGCAGATGGAGTAATGCAGAGATGCAAGGAAGGTTTTACTAACTGAAGTCTCTTCAGGTATACCTGAAGCAGGTAAAGGAGATGCCCATTGTCCCCATTCCAATAGTAAGGGGAGATTATGACACGTTAGAATTCTCTCCTACTCCCCATTGACTCCTGAGAGTTTGATAGTTACTCTGAGACAGACACATCTGTGTATTATCACGTTAGTCATTCTACTATTAAGGGGGACCTATCCTGTGGGCTTTCATTACCTGACAGGGAATTAGTTTTCCATTTTACAAATACAACTCGATTAGCTTAAGCTTTCAAAAACAAGGACAATATTATTCTCCACTTCTAAGCTTCTGTGATTGTCAGAGACACAGATACCATAAAATAATACATGGCTATTGAAAAGATAAGCATTTATGCTTTACATGGTGTACACTTAGGAAAGGGCCTCCTTCTGATGCTTACATGAATATAGGTCAAAATTGACTCTGTCTTGAACATGAGCAGTGAGATTCTTCTCTCCCGTAGAACCTCTTGAATTCACAAGGATAATGAAATGTCCTTAAACATGAAATGTCCTACCTACATCTTGGTCTTTTCTAAGTAATCACATGATCCTCAGATAGTCATGACTTCCAGTGGGGAGAGTACTGGGCATATTAGGGATTGAGGTTTACAGAGGTAACATGACTTGCCTCGTCTCATTGTAGGTAAATTCCAGAGGTGGGATTCAAATCTACAGCAGTCTGATCCCGAATGTGCTTAGCCAACAGCATATTTCAATAATTATTGTTACATCATCAAATCCTCCCTTTGTTGATGTTCTAAAGCAATTAATAAATTGCAAATGAAGATTTGCTTTTGGGGAATGGAGACCCACAAAGTGTACAAGACGTGCAGGCAGCTCTTGTTGGGTTGGTCCCCTCCAGATGGGAAGGACATTATGTATCCGAGTCAGACAAGTATCAGTGAAGTAACAGCCATCCCTCTCTGTGAGCCCAATGTGGGGGTTCAAAGCAGGGGCTGCAGTTTCTTCACAGGTGGGTGTTTTGTGTCATTGGTTTCTTGGTTGTATCAACTAGAATTGCTGGAGTGAGAAGTAAACATGGACATTAATCAGCCTCCTGGGGACAGCCTCTCATCACAGACCCAGACGATTCAAAGAGTGCCCAGCCCCCACCTTGCTGGGCAGAAGGGCATTTTGCAAATCACCCAGTGTCAGGCAGGTGTGAGCACTGTTGTCTGTTCCTACAGTGACAGGGCCATGGGGAAAACACTAAGCAGGTTTTTCAGTGTCTTCTGGGCCCTTCCTAGAAACAGCCATTGTGAGCTTTTCTTCTCTTCATGATACATTTGGGTTGCATTTGTCATGCTAAGCAGTCTGCTCAAACATTCCACAGGCAGGAATGAGTCCTCAGTAATATGTTGCTACACAGAGGCATAAGCCCTATAGTGTCAATAGTGTGATTTACACACACACACACACACACACACACACACACACACACCCTTTCAAGATCCTACTAACTGATTTATGCTTATTCATAAAAATCCATGCTATGATGTTAATAGTCTCTCATAAGAGGCATGAGAGACCATTAACATTATAGCATTGATTTTCAGTCAATGAACTGAGAAAATCTACTGACCATACTCTGATATGACCTGTTATTTGTCACTTGTTGTCTATTAGTCTTACCCTTCTTTTCCTTACCTTTCCATTCCTTAAAGATCTCAGTGATGCCAAACTCTCTTGCCAAGTTACTGAGCTTCTATTTTCCCAGGAGAGAACATTGGCAAGGGCCTCTGAAGAATCAAAAGAAACATCTCAGTGGATATTTGAAGGTAGGGTTGTAGATAGAGAAGAAAGGAACATGAATGATGGCATAGTGATTTAAAAAAAAAAAAAAAAGCTATATATACATTTATCCCCAAGACCTCGTAACTTGTGTAGAATCTGGTCGAGACTGGTCACTGGGTTGTGGAAGGGAGGGAGCAAGGTGGGGAGGAAGAGAGGAATAAGAGATTGAAAATCAGGAATTTGGCCCTCTGTTACAAAGAGTGTGTTCTGAAGCATCAGAAAGAAAGATTTGGTTGGAACAAAGTATCCTGTTTTTCTGCAATGAAAGATAAGATTATTTTGATTCTGGAAGGTGCAAAACAAGATTTTGTTAAGAAAGCAGTCGTGACAGTCAACTTAGCCTGAGGGGTTTGAACCATAAGCAGTGAATTATAAATTGAGATTATCTTTCTCATTTCATATCCTCTCTCTTTTTAGAAAACAACAACAACAACAAAACAAACCTGAATACCTATTTGTTTGTTTATTTACCTGTTTTCCTGGAGCAGAGGCATGCCAGTAGGGTGGTACCATTGTCCAGTATCTCACCTCTTGATGTGAATTGACCATTGCTTCATTGACTTCTTGCCAGAATCCATGCTTTCCTGAGTCCCTTCTGGAGGCTTGAGGAAACTCCTGGGTTAGAGAGAAGTTTGAAGAAGTTAATGCAAGCTCACGTTTTTTACCTTGGAGACTGTGGGGTGAAGCTCAGGAACACAGGTTTCAGAGGGTGTAGACTCAGTCCCAAGACTCCTGGAATCTAACACTTGACTGACCTAGGTCAAGGTATGGCTCTCTGAGCTCTAGTTGCCTCGCTTGTCTTGTGGGATAACTATCTACATTGTTTACCCCATAAGATTGCTATGTGATCAGTTGAGGTCGTGCATGTGCTTAGACTTTGTAAGCCCCAAAGGAAACATGATTTTTTAAAAAAAAAAAGTAACGTTTTTCAGAAACGGAGAGGGTGTGTGTATAGGATAGCCTGGTATAAAGAATTAAGATCCTTAAAGAAATCGGATGTTCTAAATGGGAGGCTGTCTGGTGAATAGATTTATATGAGAACATCTAGGTGTCAAGAAAAGGAAAGCTGCTAAAATAGTGTGGGTCATGATGATGTATGTGGGGAGTGTGTGTGTGTGTGTTCCTGCATGAGCAGGGATGTGATAGGTTTCTTCTATCCCCCAGAATTAGAGTTCCATTCCACATGGCATTGAAGTGGCAGAAAGTGCCTTCAACACCCATTTTATCTGAGTTCATTTTATTTTGACTCATAAAGCGACTGTCATTGCTCAGAATCCCAGCTTCACCTCTAATCTGAGCTCCTTTATGATTTCAGAGAGGGAGATGGTATTGAGATAGAGAGTCCCATAGAGACTGTGCTTTGTGATGTGTTCCCAGTATGAATTTATTTTAACATTTTTCCATCGCTTTCTAAATGGAAAAGAAAAGACCAAGCCCATATGCTGTTATCCGATAGTTTATCTCTTGGATAAAAATTAACTTCCTTCACAAGATGTACATGGTTCAGACAGATGAACCTTTCCATGTCTTACCTTATTCAGTCTATCCAATAACTCTTTGAAGTACATATTAGCATTATTCCCATTTTACAGATAAAGAAGCTGAGACATACAGTGCAAAACCATTCACCAGTCTCAGAGCTGTCAAGCAGCCAAGTTGGGATTCAAACCTGTTGGCTGGGGCTTCAGTTTGTAGCCTTAACCGTTATACAGCACTGTCCAGTGTCCTAAGTTAGAGCAGCTAATTTGTTGGTCACGGTCTTCTCCACACCTGCCCTGATGGTAACAGACATAACAACGCATGTTGTTACTAAACAAGAGACAAGGGAGTTTGGCCCTCCACTTGAAAGACATCTCCTCATTTTGATAATTAACTGTCCCTCTAGGTCACACTGGCACTATATATACTACATATCTTTATACTTATGTATCTATCAGTATATAAATATTTGCTACCATTCTGGACCCAAATTGTACCACACCCGCATAGACTTCATGCAAACTGTGGAATTGGTAATCCAGGGCTAAAATTAAGATGGCTCTGGGTAAAATTGGAAAGTATGTATCAGGAAAATATGAGGGATGTATGAATAGTAATGCATCATGAATAGTACTATCAATAATAAAGTTTTTTGCTGTGCTGGAAACAAATATTTCACATATTCCAGGTGATTAAAACTCACTTATTATCCCTGGATGCAGTTTTATATAGAGAAACAAGAAACACGGAGATGTCTGGTCAATAAGGAAAGTAAATAGATTCCAGTGTTCTGAATACCAGTGATTTACTTGAGCATCTAGAAGTGATGGTTCATGAAGCAAGGAATTCCCTTATAGGTCCTTTTAGGTAATAATCCTATGAAGAGATGCCTTTTTTGTCCTGTTTTTTTAATACATTTTTAACATGTTACCCACCCACCCCCCAAAAAAACCAATTTGTGAGCTGATTAAGTATCTCGAGAATTGGCAGGAAACTGCTGTCTACAGACACCTACTCATAATTACTAACAGATACATAATTTGAGTGCTTGATTGCTACTCAAATTGTTAAAATTTTCTGACCTTTTATTAATTTGTTATGTGTTTCCTCTCTAAATGATCAAGAATTGTGTTGTGTTAACTTAAATGGGAGCAAAATGACTAAAAATCCAGACTTCATTCTATAGAAATTTTAATATTGTTTTATTACCCCACAAAGAGAACACCTTTGAGGCAGCATTCATTGGATTTCCAAGTGATTCAAAAAGGATTCAGCTTCAAAATTAGAACGGCGAGTGTTTGTGTGCGAGTGTGTGTTTGTGTGTGTGCCATATCTCTACACACACATACACTTTAGTTTGTTTACAGTGTATTTATCCATTTATATTTTGAGACATTTGAGAAGTACATGAATGTATGATTCATTGTAAACAAAATACATAGTATTATATTTGTAACTTCAATTCCTGGTCATTTATGAGACACAGATAAAGGGATATTTATGAACACAGCATAGAATTAGGAATCTAGAGGCCAGGGTTCCAGACCTGCACATTTTCCATCCACAAGTGGCTCTGTGGACCCAAGTAAAGTTCTTTTTAAAAATTTTCCTATACTTCTTATTTCTTTTCAGTAGAATCCAGACAATGATGTGTCTGTACCTTTGAAGATCAAAATAAAATATGTGAGGATACATTTTGGAAAGGGAAATGTCTTCCTTACACTCGACGGACTATTGTTGTACATAATAAGGATGCATTGAAATAAGAGAGGATGAAATACTCATCCCCAAGTGAAGTCAAATACATGATTTCACTTGATCTCCACACTGGTGAACCCGCTCCACTTTGAAACATCCAAACAGTTGCAAGGCTGCGGCCAGTGGACCTCAGTTCTTCAAAGGAGAATTTAGAAAAATGAGCATTGCACCCCTCCAATTTTGGCTTTAGGAAGTTGTAAGAAGTGAGTTGGCTCTGGTGG